AACCCTTAGCCAACCTTATCAAAAAAAGAAAGAAAAGACTCAAATCCATGCAATTAGGAATGAAAAGAGTAAAATCACAATAGATCCTGCAGAAATCCAGAAGATCATCAATACCTACTTTGAGAATCTATATTCTAAAAATGGAAAACATATAAAATGGACAAATTCCTAAATACATATTAATTACCAAAGATAGAATAAGATAGAATACATGTCTATTCTGATGTTGTGGGGTAGAACACTATAGGCTAAATCTAAATCTACTAAATCCATAAGATATGAATACATAAGATATAAAATTCTAAAAAACCAGTATCAGTCAATGAAGTCGAAGATATAATTAAAAACCTACCAACAAACAAAAACCCAGGCCCTGACAGGTTCAGTGCTGAATTCTACAAGAAATTTAGAGAAGGGGCTGGGGATTTAGCTCAGCAGCACAGCGCCTGCCTGGCAAGCGCAAGGTCGTGAGTTCGATTCCCCGTACCGGGGAAAAAAAAAACAAAAACAAAAACAAAACAAACAAACAAAAAAGACATTTAGAGAAGACCTAATGCTGCTACTTCTAAACCTCTTTAATCTCCCTTGCAGAAGCCGTGCTGAATGTCGCACAGCTTCAGGAATGCCGGTGAGCCACCCTGCCCCTCCCCCATCAGCGTGGGAGACAGGCAGAGCCCCAGACAGCTTCAGGAGCTTGGACGTCCACTCTTCCAGCCCCACTGGAGCTGAGCTGAACCTCGGACAGCTTTGGGAACCCCGCTTATCTGCCACACCCCTCCCCCATCAGCGTGGGAGCCAGGTGGAGCCCCAGACAACTTCAGGGGCCTTGGGGGCCACTCCCTGCCCCCACCCCGCACCCTTGGGGAAGCCAAGCTTAACCTCAGACAGCTTCAGTGGCTTTGGTGACTGTGTGTGCTCACCCCTCCCCCACTGGCATGGGAACCAGGCTGGGTCCCAGGCAATGTCTGGAGCCTCAGTAACCACAACACGCCCACTACTACACCCTTGTGGAAACAGGGCTGAAAGCTGGACAGCTTTGGGAAGCCCTGAGTGGGAGCCAAGCTGAGCCCAGGACAGCTGTGGGAGCATCAGAGATCACATCCCAACCACACACACCATCCAGGGAGCCACACCGAGCACCGGGGACCTTCAAGTCCTTGCCCCACAGCTCTGACATCATCCTGGGAGTGAGGCTCCAGGGAACCTCTGGATCTCTGAAAATGACAAAATGAGGAGCAAAATGCAATCACAGACTTCCACCCCACCCAGAAACAAGTCCAGGAGATATCGACACAGAAGAGCCTGGAAGTCATACACCTGAAATTTCTGAAATCACAGCAGCTGAAGTAAAGAAACAACTCCATCAGGCCATAGGAGACATCGGATCAGAAAAAATCTCTGAGGTAAAAAAAGAATGACAACAATAATGAAAGAATTGCTTAGCACATCTAAAGAA